GGCGAGAGCTGGGAGGCGGCAGCGTCTGTTGTGGTTCCCGGGCCTCTCCGTGCCATACACAAGCCGCTTTTAATAATTTAGAGAAGCCTCCACTCTTTTTCCTCTCGCCCCTGTCTGGGCCGGCCCCTGGGTGCAGCTGCAAACCGAGCACCCCCTTCCCAGGCTGGTCTCGGGGCATCCTCTCTGGCAGGGACGACCCCGGCAGCTGTGCCAGGGGCCTGGCGACCATCAGCCAAGGCAAAGCTCACATCGTGGTGCTCGGTGCAGCTTTCTGGCTCCGAGCTTACATTTTCCATCTTAAAAGTGATACCAGGGCTGTGCTGCCTGCCAGAAACAGGAAGAAGTGACAGCTGCTTGAGAGGAGTGGCTCTGGGGACAACAGAAACCTGCCAAGGGGTCATGAAACCCAGTGGAAACAGAAAAGAGTCACTTGCATCTCACACTTTCATGGTACAGTCAGTAGGTTTCTCTTTTTTTCCTCTTACTCCCAGTAAAGCTAGCACAGCTTTACAGGAGCCAGCCCAGGCACTGTGGGAAGGGTGAGGCAAGCCAAGCACCACAGTTTGTCCCCTGCAGGGGCTGGAAAGTTCCTGAGAAACCTCCACCTGGGATGGCTTTCACCCTTTCTCAGGGCAGGACAGTGGATGTGGTGGCCCATTTCAGTCCCTGGTGCTGCTGAAGGTTCCTGGTAGCCACCACAGGTAGTGCCATAATCCCTCCAAGCCAAAGCACAGCTCAGCCTGTTGAGGCTTGTTACAAGCATCAGCCCCACTCCTTGCCCCAGCAGAGACCTGCTGTGGCCAGCCAGGCCCAGCTCACCCGGAAAGCCAAGACAGGAGGCAGCTGCAGCAGGCAAGGAGCCGGAGCTCAGTCAGCAGTTTTACTTTTGGCTTTCCCGTCAGACACGACACCAGCAAGAGGGTGGGCCCTGCTTCATATTTTCCATCCTTCCTCCCGGGCAGCAAAGGTGTCAGGTCTTCAGCCCTCCCTGCACCCCTCAGCTGCAGCCATGACTCCTCCAGGAGCAGTTGGGGCTGTCTCACTTCTCCGTGGATGGTGGTCTGCAGGCAGCTGGAGGTATTGCAAAAGCATTTCCTACTGTGCTTTGGGATGGGAGAGTACCCAGCCCACAGCAGTACCTGTGCCCCTCCACTCCCAAAGCAACATAGCTGCAATCCAGCCCCTTGCAGGGAACAGGGACCTGGTTTGGTCCTCAGCACCCATTTTGGAAGAATTGAGGATAACAGCAGTGCAAGCAGCAGCAGCAGAAGGCCCTGTAAAATTAAACAGCACCTGGACCTGACTTATCCTTGCTCTCAGGATTTGCCATCACTGGGAATGACTCCTGAAAGGCTGGGGGGGGACAGGGTGTCTCATTCTTACTAGCATCATGACTGCAAGGGATAGAGGGTGCTCCTGAGAGCCCCTTCCCCTGTGCATTGTGCTCACAAATGTACAGCAACCAAACTGGTGGAGGAGTCCAAGTTTTTTTCCCCCTGTATCATCCCAGAGCAAGTATCTCCAGCCTGACCATGCACCCTTTTATACAAGCACCCACAAATGCTGATGAACACACCCATGTGCACATCCAGATTTACACACCTGCTGTGTGCCAAATACATACCCACACCCCTTACCTGTGAGGATGTGCACATCTCTGCAGCCACCCCATTCCTGTGCTGTATCTCTTCCCATGTCAGGACCTGGGTGCAGCCAAGGTGGGGGCTGTGGGTGCCAAAGCTGCTGCATTTCCTGCACGCTCTGGTCTGGCAGTTGGAGCAACCACTTCCGACCACAGACACCCAGTCATCCCCCAAGGAGGGGCTGCCACCAGCATCAGTGCCAAAATGCTTTGTCAGCTCTCTAGGACTACAAGCCAGCTGGGATAGTCAGAAAGCAGAGTCCATTCTCAGTGCCACACTGGGGTCTCACTGATGGGGAATGGCCAGACCTTGCTGTAAGATCACAGAGAGCAGTGGCTGGTCCCCATCTTCATCTGCAGGAATCTGAATGTGTGAGTTCAGCAAACCTAAACTGAATCTAAGCAAGCAGACCCCCCCAAAGCAAAACCTCAGAGTCAGCCTGGCTCCTTATAAACTACAGCCTTGATTAAAGGTGATTAGGAACAACATGTGAGCAAGCATCCCTTAAAGGAACCTGAGCTCAAAACCAGGTCTCAAGAAAACTGGGCAGGCAGATGAAGATGGAGAGGAGGTCCTCTCCTGCTGCTTGCAGCAGGGTCTTTGAGGAGAGCTGTGCCATGGAGCACCAAAGCAGCATTCCTG